TTGTTATTAATACATAGAAAATATTGGGAATGGATGTTGACTGTGGCAACACTACACGGTATTTTGGTAAGGGCTATGGCATCACTTAGATAAAACCATTGTCCCATCCTTAACGATAAACTGGTGCAGCTTTAGTGGGATCACATTCAACTATGGTAAACTGGCAAATTATATTGCTTGTAATGTCCTGATCTCATCAATGATGCCTTGCCTTTACATAATATAATCCTGCTATTTTGTAGAAAAAATGGTCAGCTGTTACAATTAGTTTTGCTACTATCAGAATTGAATTGAGATGTTTGTAAAATATGTTTATTTAAAATCCATTTCAGTTTTTTCATTTCATAGTTTCTTTCTTGTAATTGTGATTTTCCGTATTAACATATTGGATCTTTGAAGCTTATGAAGGAAGAGACCATAGATTGGCAGCTGTTGTTACTTTGGCATCATCACTTAACTACACATCTTCAGATTCATCACTCAAACTGCTCCTTCCCCTTGTAAGTAGATGAAAATCTAGTTGTCTGGATCTTTTCATTGTACTCTACCTCGATAATTTTATACGCGAATGAATTAACAAAAAAATATATAATTTTTACTTGAATGTATTAAGTTGAAGCCTTTTTTATGAAAGTAATTATAAAGCTATTATGATGCAGGCTGATCCAGCTCAGGCTCTGAATGTGCCTGTTGTTCGTTTAGGGGCATTGTTGGCACCATCTTATCCTCTTTCACCAAGTCCTCCTTATGTCTGGTCCTGGCTTAATAATCTGATATCAGCTGAGAACATGATGCAACCAGAGTTGTTGAAGAAGCTTGTACTTAACAACTTCTGTAAGTACAGATATTCCTCTGCCTTATGAATGAATTGCAAAATTATGGTGGTGGTGTATCACTTGTGCCACAATTTGGAATGCATGGACATATGCCTTTTGAAGTATATCCATGATTTTGTTTTGGGATATATCAGTATTTTGACTTCCATAATGAATTTTGAAGGTAATAATAGTGGGGAACCTAAAGTCTTATGTTGCGAATTCGGTGGCACATCAAATATTATACGTTGTCTTGATCATATGAAGGGACTAAAAACATGCTTGTCCAACAAAAAAACAAATAAATAATAATGAAAAAATTAAAGCATTGTGTTTATTTCTATACAAGTAATAAGTTGTGGAGATATTTAGAGTTGCTGTTGCACCACTAATCTTGATATCAACGTCTGGAGTCCTACTATGGAAAATATTGGGATAGATTGATTTAACAAAAAATAATATATTAAATCACAATGACATCAATTTGACTTTGTGTTACTGACATTAGCCGTGAATACTATTTCTTCTTCCTTTTCTTTCTTTTTTCTTTTTTTAAACTTTTATTAAGGTGGCTCCAAAAGGTTAGAAAGAAAACGAACGATTAAATTCTGAGATGATCTTTTTTTACTTGAACCAAATAATAATAATAAGAAAAGGAGAAATAGAGAGGTACCCTCTGGACTGCTCATTGATACAGAATGCTAGGCAGTTGGCAGTTACAAAACAAGTTTATAGAATGTTATTGGATTGAGGATGGTCAATAGAGTGGTGTAGGTATCTGACTTCCATGCTACACGTGTTGCCAAGGCAATGTAACTCACCCTGCCACAGGTGCAGAGTTGGCAACCTACTTGGTGTGGCACATTCAGCATAGTCCATGAATCATCCTTGAACTTGACGGGCTTCTTTCAGAGGAATGGCGTGAAGTCTTTCTCCATGAATGGAATATTCAAAGATCATGGTGTGTCAACTGCCATGTCGTCGAGGTTACTGGTCAGATGGAGGTATATTATACTGCATATCGCAAAATAAGCTGGACTGCAACAATTCCTTACCTTCTGATCCATCCTCCGCTTGCCTTTGCCTGCATATATATCAGTATTTTTATTGCTCAGTCTTCGGACTGCAAGATATCCTTGGCAAGCTCATCTCTAAAAGGACTTTCTTTCCCAACAGGCATAAGCACCACAACAGTTGTTATCTCTGTGCTCTCTACAGGTCTTGGGTTATCTTGAACAAAATTATCCAATGTGTCTTCATCAGCTTGTCATCTTATTTCTCCTTTACAGGGTTTTTGGGCCTAAACACTGGTGACGTGTTATTACCCTAATTCTTTCTTTCTTTTGTTTCCTTTTTTTTTTTGGAAAAGAAAAATCAGGGCCCTTATATCTGGTATGCGTACAGAAGGATGACAAGAGGCCTTCATTACATAGTTGATTTTTATTATTATCTTATTTATTTATTTATTTTTATGTTTTCCTAGCATAAAGATCCCGTTGGAGATCTTGGTTGCTGTTCTGTTTTCTGTATCAGATATTTTTCATGCAACTTCCTTTCTCCCTCCTTTCTTTCACTTTTTACTGACAGTCATGGTTCAATCAAAACTGACAGGTACTATACCCGCTAAACTTCTCTTGCAACTGACAACTGCTTTCCGAGAGGGCGGACTTCGTGATAGAAGTGGTAAATTTTTGTACAAGGATCATATACATAAAGGCAATGTCCCTGTCTTAGCAATTGCAGGAGAAAGGGACCTAATTTACCCACCTGAAGCCGTATATGGTACGTTTCAAGTAAAGATAACCTCTTATGCACCATTTGGCGGATTGTTTATTTTAATTTACATTTCTTGCTTGTTACCTAAAACAGAAACTGCAAAGCTCATTCCTGAGCACTTGGTCACCTATAAAGTATTTGGAGAACCTGATGGTCCACATTATGCTCATTATGATTTGGTAGGAGGACGTTTGGTATGTGTGCATATTCCTAATTTTTCCTTCTACAGTGAAATTTCATCTTTGATAACTTGCACTCACTAGGGGGAAAAAAAATCATACCACTGGTTGTGTAATGGTGTCAATTCTGTTTCTGTTAAAATACAGGCTGTGGACCAAATATATCCATGTATAATCCAATTTCTAAGTAGTCATGACCTGCCATGACTACGTGGGGGCATCAGAATTTTGTTACTTGCTATTCATTAGGGCAGCATACTTCATTGTGCACTGGGCATCAGGTTTCTCTAATCTCTCTCTCTCTCTCTCTCTATACACACACACACACACACACACACACACACACACGTGCGCGCATACGTGCATATGCAAACACGCACTTGTGCAAATTCACCTGCTGTTGCTATTATTTTGTTATCGTTATTGTGTTGTTACTTGCACGTGTACCCTCACGTTGCTGCTGCAGCTGTTATCGTGGTGTTTATTTTATTTTTTATTATTACTAGTGGCCTGTGAGCCTTTGCAGCATGAATGGCACTTTTTCATTCCTGCTTCTCAACAAATGAATAGTTGCCTCTTTTCCTATACAGGAAGGCTGTTGAATGGAGACGCACTGTCGAATCAAAGAACCCCAAAAGCTGAACTAGAAGTAATGCGTACAAGGGATTATTTTGTTTATATGTAACTAAGCTTTGTTTCCGTGTTAAATTAATTCGCTTTCCCCCCTATACATAGGGAGCATATTTTTTGTTGTCTCTCTCTGATTGCCGCAACAGAATCTCGATTACTTTGGAACACACCAGTTCCGGGGGCTTAGAAAAGGACTTTGAGTTTGTTCTGGTACAGCTTGGAGAGCTTATAATTTGAATGGGAAGAAAGCAGGAGCTTCCATCATTCACTGGTAGGAGCTTTGAAAAGGGCTCTGTTGTATCATTTCAATTCATGCCCTTCGAGCATTCTACTCCGAAACTTTGATAAAAGGATTGTCCTGCGCCCTTGCTAAAACAAGGTGCAGCGACTTAATTTGTTCAGAGTGATCTAGTGTGTGAGGGCTTTCATATATATTAACCCTCTACTTTTTATGGTGTACCGTTTTGTTGTTGTAGTACGCATTAATTTGTTCTCAGTGATATACTGAAGATTAATTTGTTCTCAATGATATGCTCAGCTTCTTGCAAATTAGGTCAAAATATGTCCAGTCTCAGTTATTTTCAATTCTCCACTAGTCTGTAGAACATATTGGGCCTGAAGATTAGCGGAGTTCCAGTTCCAATACTACATATTGAACTTCGAGGCCGTAGTGACGAAATTTTTTACATGGATCCAAAGTGAATTTAAATCATAAGACAAAGCTGTATGAACACTACAAATACCAACATTGAGATGGGTCAATGTTAATGGTAGAAAATGTTTTTCTCTTCATTCACTTGGAGATGAAGCCCAACCATGAAAAGCATTGATACAAATATCTCTTTGGATCATTTTTTGCCCATGAAAGAATTCATGGCATTGGTATTGGTGAGATGTTTAGCCTACAGATGGGCCCCAAATTGTTTAGTTAGATTCACTGAATAAATTAATACCTCTGTTTCCGCTACCAAACAAATCTCTCTTTTGACTTGTCGAATTTGCTGTATACTCTCTAGGTTAAAAAAGTGAGCTCGAGATCATTTGTTAACATAATTTTTTGTTTCTTCTCTGATTGGTTGAAAAACTAATCATAAAAGCTATAATTAATGTCTCTTTCTTAGTTTTATGGAACTTTAAAATTTATACTTTTAGGACCAAATTACTCTTAAAAAATTATGGATCTTTAAAACTTATACTTTTACTTAAGGTTGTAAATGAACTGAACGTTCAACAAAGAGCTTAAGCTCGACTCGATAAAGACTCGGTTCGTGTTCGTTTGATTAATAAAGGTACCAATCTCAAATAGATTTTTCAAGCTCGTTTCGTAAAGGAATCAATCTCAAATAATTATGAGTTTGGAATGTACCGCGAACAAGCTCGTTAGAACTGTGAAGAATAATACTATAGTCAAGTGAGTTTTTTTTTTTTTTTTTTTTTTAATTTTGTGGGTCAATTTAACATTACACGTAGTTAAAAAAACATTGTATATTTCAGCCCAAACCAGTCCAACCCAACTGTTAATTAATCCCTTTAAATTTAAAACAGCCTATGTCCATGCCCATAGCCCATCTAAGGCCCATTTTACAACTAGTTAATCCTATTCTTTTTCATCATTCTCTTCTTCGCCTGCGTGTACATATATCAGGTCTCTTCTTCGCCTCGTAACCATGACCTAACCTGAACATTCCCAACCAGCAAAATCGGCAACGACGAGGCAATTCCCACGACGCGCAAGACGAACCAATAACCACCTGTCGGCGACCAAATATCCGACACAATCGATTTCCATGTATGTTACTGTATATCTCTTCCTTTTCTTCTCTGTTTTTTCAAATTTCTCTTTCTATCTTCTCCCCCTTTTGCTCTTATATACATATACGCTATTGTATGCTTGTATATATCTTCCCGTTTCTGTGTTTCACAAATTTCTCTCTCTATCTTGCTGCTCTTATATATGTATGTATATACCTATGCTCGTAAACGAGCAATCGAGCTCGGCTTTGAACATTGTCAAACCGAGCTCGGTGAGAGCTCGAGCCGACCTTGGTTAGCCTCATTTGCAGCCCTTGTTAGTAGGTGAGACGACGAAACCCTAACCCACGTCTCACACAGAGTCATCATCTTCTTCTCCTTTTTTACAAACTAGTGTTGTAGTTGTGTTAAATTGGAAACCAATTATTTCTCAGTGATGATTTGGATGATTAATCAATATAATGGGGTAACTAATAAGATCCTGCACATAATTATATGTTTGGTTGTTTTTAATTAGTGTACTTTTGCATTCTATATTGTGTTTGGTAAACTGAAGTATGCTGTTAATGCAGACACCTTTGGAAAAAAAGTATTACTCCTCATTTATAAACTATTCACTGAGGACACACACACACAAACTAAATGAATTCGTCTTTCTTTTTTTTTTTTTTTTTTTTCTATCTACTTCGTGTAAATGAATTTCGTACTTTGTTTGAGTAGCTAATTGCATTCATATCAGATTTCTTTTGATCATGCGTTATTGATTGCCAATGGATGCTTTGTTTGGTGGGTTTTGACTTTTGATCGACAAAACACATGCCTACAATTCTCAATTTTAGTTTTTTGTTCTACTTATGAAGGTTGAAGGTGGGTTTTGAATTTTTTTGCTAATTTTATCTTTTTATATAGGGATAATGTGATCTTTTAACTAAATGGAACTTATTAAGAACAGAAGATGTTGTGAATTTAATGTATTTAAAGCAATAAAAAGAAATGGTAAAGTAATAACATTTAAGTTATTAAAAAATTTAAAATTATAAAAAGTTATTAAAAGTACTTTCCAGTTGCATTTCTAGAAACAAAGAGGTAAATGTTACATTGATCTTTGAAATTAGGATTTAGATAATAGAATATATACTACCCAGTGAAGTAATGAGTTATAATTGATTATCACCATGAAATCATTGTAATTGGAACAGGTCTCTTATTGAACAATTATGTGTCGACTCAACCAATTTCATTTTTTTGCCGACTTATATGTGCATAATTGATTATAAAAGCTGGCAATGCATTTACTTTATAACAATCGTTCCTGTATGCAATTCTTAAATGGTTTTCTGTTGTAAATTCATAAGTAGTTAAAATTATTTCCACAAATAAAGGCTTTTGGTTAAACAAATCTTCTAAGTTATATATTTATTCAAGCAAAATAATTCAATATTATTAGTAGGGAATCCTTGAAGACCGGAATGGATCACCAAATTAAGGTGGCACTTGCAATGTTCTATGAGCGAATAAATGATTTAAGAACAATCTAATAAACCATGGGAATGTTATATATAATCAATTGGACGTATGATCATAATCTATTTTTTATTTAGTATTTTCATTTCGTATGCCATCTTATAGATCAGCACCTCGCTCTCACATGATCCTTTCTTGCACTTTTGGATCAATGTATCATTCACCTCTTTGTTTCTAGAATTGCTATATTTGAAGTTAAAAATTGTATAGAAGTTCACTAACATATTTTAGTTTTGCCTATCATTAATCTTACAATTATAGGTGTACTTGTTGGGATGAAAGTTTACTGAAATGAGTGGAATCGGAAAAGAGGTTAGTAAATTATTTTGACATTTCCTTTTCAATTATAGTTTTATTTGATAAGATATATATATATATAGATATATATTTATTTATTTATTTTTTTTTATATTTATTTATTTTTCCCACTGTTAGAACATTGTTTCTTCAATTTTTTATTTTTATTATTATTATTATTATTATTATTATTATTATTATTTTTTTTTTTTTTTTTTTTTTTTTTTTTTTTTTTTTTTGATTGAAAATATGAAGATACAAATTTCAAAACTTACCACCTTTGTTTTTGATCTTGATTGCACGTGTGTAACTATAGGTTTGGTTGATTCAAATTTTAGTTGGATTTGGGATCAACCTAAATGCGAACTACGAGAGGAGTAGAGGACAGTGGCAAAGTAAGTTTGTTGTTACCTAATTATATATTTTGGCATCATCATACCGAGGTAGATATCTATGAGATTGCAAACTTTGTGCATAATTATGAATATAGATCACATACGTGCTTGTATCTGCATAGTGCTGTTCGTGCTTGCTACGGATAGGTATATGCAATGGTCATTTTTGGTTGATATATTTGGTGGTTTAGCAGTGTACTTTTGCATTCTATATTGTGTTTGGTATAATGGAATCATGCTTTGAAAGTGAAACTGGAGTATTTTGTTAATGCAGACACCTTTAGAAAAAGTATCACTTCTCATTTATAAACTATTCACTAAGGACACACACAAAAAAACTAAATGAATTGGTTTTGTTTTCTTCTCTATCTACTTTGTGTAAATGAAATTTCTTACTTTGTTTGACTAGCGAAATGCCTTATTAATTGCCAATGGATGCTTTGTTTGGTGGGTTTTTACTTTTGATTGACAGAACACATGCCTACAATTTAAAATACTGTGGAACTTTAAAACTTGTACTTTTAGTTAGGGCTATAAATGAGCCGAACGTTCGACAAACAGTTCGAGCTCGGCTCGATAAAAGCTCGGCTCGTGATACGTTCGCAAACAAGCTCGTTTAAAAGCTCAATAGAACTGTGAAGAATGATACTATAGTTAAGTGGGATTTTTTATTTTGTGGGTCAATTTAACATTACATATAAAAAAAATTATCTATTTCAGCCCAATTGTTAATTTATATATTTCAGCCCAACCCAAACCAGTCCAACCCAACTGTTAATTTATCCCTTTAAATTTAAAACAGTCTATATCAATGCCCATAGCCCATTTTGCAACTAGTTAACCCTATTCCTGAATCACTCTCTTCTTCAGACATAACCACGACCTAAGCTGAAGCAATTGGTTCCCATGTACGTTACTGTATATCTCTTCATTTTCGTCTCTGTTTTTTCAAATTTATCTATCTTCTCCCCTTTTTGCTCTTATATACATATATGCTATTTTATGCTTTGATACCATGAAACTTAATGTATATCTCTTCCCATGAAACTTAAGGAAAACAGAAAGAAGGTGCGGGGCAGAATCAAGGAGCTAAGAAAGAATGTCGCAACAGCTGAAAGATTGGCCGCCCAATATGGCCAGAAAAGGGATAGACACTGAGCCCCGCAGGAATAGAAAGAAAGATAATATTTGTTCGGAAATCCTAAGTTATTTAGGGAGAAAAAAGACCTGAACATGGGTAGTGGATGTGAGCTTAGTATCAAAATCCAAAGCGTGGATGCCCTCGTATGGAAGACTTTAGTTACTAGACTATACAATGCGAAAGTTAATGAAGACATGCTCGGTAGATTGAGGCGATTCGGGGAAAGATTCGGAGTGCATGTCCCAGATCCCGGAAGGAAGTGACGTATCTCCATCAACGCTGATGATGCTGTAGAAGAGTTTGAACAATGACTGCGCTGGGTTTGGTCGAGTGACTGGGATTATTAGGGACCTAAATAAAGGATCATTAGGGACCCAATTGATATGGCTATGATGGAATGTTGTTTATGATTATTCTCTCCACAATGCTTTGTGGTGGAATTCGTATGCATTGGGCATTGAGGTTGTGTCATCTTCAAGTTTCCGAATGATGGAAGCTTATAAAGCACTATGCTTGAAAATGAAGTGATTCGAAAAAGGAGCTTATGCTCGTAGTTGGCCAACATGTTTAACCTTGGTGAAGCTTCACTCCCCATCATATCATAGCTTGTACCTGTGGTACTGCGACTGCATCGATGTCATCTCTTACAAGTAATTTGGGTATCTGTCCTTTAAATGTTAGCCTTTTTTTATTGTTGTTGCCATTCTTTTTCTACTCAAATGAATATTTAAGACGAGTGTGCTGGAGGCGCTGTCCTTTAAATCTATTATATGGAGCAAACTACACAATCCACTCTGACATGGTGCATATTTTCCGTTTTTAAAGTTAATGTGGGGAAAGTTTCTAATGGTTTAGGGTAAATAGAAAATAATAAGATTAATTCTTCTAAATGATCGCATGAGAATCATTAAACTAGATTTATAAGTAGATGCAAAATAGTTTATATTTGGTAGCATATATTAAACTAGATTTATAAAGTGATACAAAATAGTTTATATTTGGTAGCATATATAAAACTGAGAAAACAAAATCTTCAATGGAAAGTTAAATTCGTGAAATAATAGTTAGAATGTGAAGGTAAAGAAAAACAAACTGATATAACAAAATCTTCAGTGGAAAGCCAATTTCGTGAAAGAATAGGTAGAATTTGAAGGTAAATTAAAAAAAACCAAGCAGAATGACATCTTAATTCATTATTGTTCGGATCAGTCTTGCAGGATTAATATATTGAAGTTTTAAGTTCAAGCCTTGATTTAAGCAAATATCAAATATATCCACCATTCATGGTTTGAGCCTTCTGCAAGGCTTTACACAATATAATAATCCTGGACGGATTTGGAAACTGATATGGATGTATCATGTACCATAGCTATCTTGTAAACAAGCATGTATATACGTGTGTGTACATATACTTGTACATATATACAAGTGCAAGCAATAATTCGCCGAATATAGATATTGAATCAAGACAAATATATGTTTTAGGAGAGGCACACAATTATCACACTAACATTATAACAAATTACCAAAATTATATAATATCATTGTCTAGCTTTATTTTTTTGAACTTTATTTTGTACTGATCCTTCTCCATCAACAACATACGAAAACCCACTGCTCACTCTGTCAGCGTCCACCTAAATCTCCCCTACTTCAACTGAATTTAAAACCTTGTGGCAAAAAGGAAAAGGAGAAAAAAATGAATTTGAGCCCCTGTGAAGGCTGTGATGAAAAGAACTACATACAATTATATGGCAGAAAATGTAAGTAGATGTAATCCTGGTTTAAAGTTACTTAATTAAGGTAATCTATATGATCCTTCCTTATGACCAAAGAAAACACATTTGATGTCTTTTAGTTCATATATACTACTTGGGTAGCTTCATTTCCCAGTAAGATTAAAACATTAAAACTGACATAAAGAAGAAATAATTAATTTATTCTTTATGCTAAGAATGAATGGTAATTGGTTATATATTCTCGATGCTCTGATTATAATTGAGAAAACCATGCATAGGCCAAGCGCTATGCTTAAGAATATTGCCATAATAACTTTCCATTTCCAATTTGTAATAAGAGAATATCTCAAAAGTTTCTATAGACAAAAACCATTTCCAGTAAGATTATATAGAGTTGTTCCGTTTCATGTTTAAACGTTGCTCTTTGTGATCCTTCCTTTGAAAACTTGCTGAATTTTATTCCATATTAAAGCTACACCTATTTCCTTATTGTCAACTTGGTACTTTATCCAAATTAGCTGAGAAAGTAACTTCAAAATTATAAGAAAATGAGAGAATAAGGTGTACTTTCATCTAATAACAAAAGGAAAGCAAAAGATGGTGAAACTCTTTCCTTCTTTCTGACCTGCACGTTACCATTGCCACAATGACACTATAACTGATTCTTATTTCTCATTTGCTTTCTTCAGTTCCTAGCAAGCGCACTAAGCAAGCTCGACTCAACTTTGTGAAGGAGGCTCCAGAAACCCAAGAAGTGGGTGCTTTGTGAGGGGCATTGTTCTTCTTCTGCCATGTGTTTTTGTTCGTTGTTTTGGTGCAAGTGCTCACAAGGAGAAGAGAGATGATTGAAGTACACTGGTTTTTCTATACTTCCGAAAAAACACAACTTTTTTAGGGTTGATTAATTTGTTCTAATGGTGTTTTTATCAATTTCTATATATTGTGTGTTGAGATTCTAGGAGATTAGGAGTATAGAATCGTTTGTGATTCTTTCCATTCTTGGATTGATTGCCTTGTAGTATATTAACTATGAAATCGTGCTTCATTATGGGCTGTAAATGTGTGATTGCTTGTATAGCCTAATTGTAGGAGATCATCCTCTATATATAGATTGTATATCGACAGACAAAAATATGAATGAAAATATACCATTCTTAATTCCCTATTTTCAAGTTGGTATTAGAGCAGGTTAATCCCTTCATTTTATTTTTTTCATTCATAATATCATTCATCACCTAGAAATTCAAATACTCGGAAATTCATCACCAAATAGCCATAAATTCGTCATCAAATTCTTACCCAGACTACTCAAAATTGCCCAAATACCCTATTTATTACTTGCCAGAATATCATCATCATGATAAACTGCCGCACCAAAGTATCGCCGCGTTCAGACAGAGAAAATCCATCACCAAACCGCTCCCTAGAGTCGTTTCGATCGACGAGAGAAGGTAAACCGCTGCATCATGCTTCTGCTCATCGCTGGAGTCGCTTGAGTCGTCCACCTTTACGCTGCCTGACGATTTCTCTTCTTAGCGTGTGTCTTTTCTATTTGCTTTTCTATGTTTTTTTGGCCTTATTGTATTGTTAATTGCATATCTCCCAAAATAAAAATAAAAAAATTGAGTGACAAAATTAATGAAACATCTGGATCATGTGAAATATAAATTTTGGGGAGATTGTGAAAAATATAGATTGTGAAAGAAGTCCTGGCAATCTTAGAACTTCAGTTTCCTTATTTATTCTGATTCTTTTTTGCACTAGATTTCCTTCCAAGTCCTATGCACAAAATTTTCTATATTTTTAGAGGGATTAGGACATTCTAAACTCTATATAAACCTTGTCATACACATAGGTTAATACACGGCTTTTGCATACAAAATTCAGATCCAATTGAAAGCAATCTTTGAGAGATATTTTTAATTCAGAAAATCAATCTGATTTTCTGATTTTATTTTTGAGAGCACACACAAAAACACAAGAGTGATTTAGTAGTGTTGTTCTCTATCTCATCGGAATTGGTGCATAATTGAAGATTCAGAAATTCCGAAAAAGTAGAATTCATTCATTCTTCATCAAATTCAGATCTAGAAGAAAAGGGGTGAAACGATCACACTTTGAAGGGGTCAGAGCATTCTTGGAGTGTTGTCTGGTTTACCTACAACTCTTCTACAGAGATCAAGAGTGAGCCTGAGGTCTAGAGCTATTGGACGGGGGAGTCGCAAAGCCAGGGATTGTCAACAATTGGTTTTTGGTAGAACGATAGGGTGTGAGACTGAGTCAAAATTCGATATACTTTGCTTCAAACATAGTGGATCGTTTATCTCAGGACTGCAAAGTCCGACGAGGTTTTTCCTGTTACAATTGGTCTATTATACCAATTGGGGTTTTCTAGATAAAATCCTGGTTTCATCTTTCAAACTTTATTTACTTTACTTGTACTTTATTTTTGCTTTGTGATTTGAATTTAGTTTTATTTCGGTAAAATTAAAATAAGTAAAAAATTGGATAAAAGAGAAAGTTAAATATATTTACCATCTCTCTAGATTATCTATCCATATTATATTCCACAACCATTCCGCTGCGCACAAATTCTCAACAAATCTAAATCCATACTTGTTGTTGTTCAGTTTGAAGGTGTCTTTAATGTTGGGATTACTCTCATGGAGACCAATTATGATACATGGTCTCAGTTGATAGAGATGCAGATTGCTGAAAGGGACAAGATCTCTTATATTCGCAGAAAAAAACCACCTACAGAATCAGATGAAGGGTTTGAAAAATGGTATGCTGAAAATCGAAAAGTCAAAAGGTGGCTATTAATGTCTATGTCACCGGAAATTATGAAGCGCTATTTACGCTTGCCCATTGCTTATGAAATTTGGGATGCTCTTTCAAAAGCATTCTATGATGGAACCAATGAATTATAGGTGTTCACTTTGAACCAAAAGGCCTTCATTGCCAAACAACAAGGGAAAACACTCTTTGTTTATTATGGGGAGCTCATAAAATATTCTAAGAATTGGACTATTGTGATAAGGTGGGTTATGAAGGATCCTAAAGATGTTGCAGCATACCGCAAATCCATTGAATGATTATGAGTTCACATATTCCTCGCTGGATTAGATGAGGAATTTGATTAAATCCGAAGAGAGATTTCGCGAAGTGATCCAGCTCCAGACCTGGAGGAGTGTTATTCTTTAATTCGACGAGAGGCTATTCGTTGTACTACACTGAAAGGTGTGTCTGGAACATCTGAAGCTTTTGCCATGGTGGCCCATAACCGCTCTAACCAGAATTGAACTCCCCAAAATAAGTAAGTTCGAGCACGACCCAACAATGGTAAAATGACCAACAGTATCGACAAGTCTAGTTATAAATGCACTCAATGCAATCGGACTGGTTATACCAAAAGTCGTTGTTTTCAGCTAATGGGATATCCGGACTGGTGGGATCGTAGTTTGTCAAAAAAGGATCAGAACAGAACATCCACTGTAGCAGTTGTTAAAGCAAAGACAGACGATGATGTAGCTGCAAAAGCCTCAACATTGGTAATAGCTGTAGATAATGGTGGTAAGGCTTTAAACAATTCTGCACCTGTTTTTAATGGTACATGGATAATTGATTCTGGTGCTACAGATCATATGACATTTGATTCTAGACAAGTCTCACCACTTAATCCCACCTCACAAATATTTGTTTCCATTGCCAATGGAACTTCAACCCCAGTTATTGGGGAAGGATCTTTAACCCTCACCGATACTCTAAATTTAGATTCTGTTTTAGTTGTTCCAACTTTAGATTGTAACCTGGTGTCAGTTTATCAAATAACAAAAACTTATCTTGTATTATAATTTTTTGGCCTGAATTTTGTGTGTTTAAGGACATTCGAACTAGGAAGACGATTGGTTGTGGTATTAGGTGGGGGAAGCTGTACTACTTGGACTTAGTGTCAACAACTTCCCACAAGTTACAACAAGTGCTGACGATGAATGGATCTGAGGGGGAGAAAAAGAAAAAGGAAATCTGGTTGTGGCATCGGTGTCTGGGGCATGCTTC